AATTACTATTCTTAAAAGAGTGCTCAATACATAGTAGAGCAGATATAATTATTTATTTAAAAAATTATAACATAAATATGTTATAAAATCACTACAAAAATATGATTTTGAATTTTAACACCTCCAGTGTCATCACTTGATAAGACACTGAGGTGTTGAATGTAAAATGGCTATTTTTTATGATTTTATAACATATTTATGTTATAATTTTTAAATATATATATATATATATATAATCTGACAATATTAATAAAAGACAATAGTCACCTTTTATGCCAAAACTTTTTGTTTGTTGAGGAACTTTATCAAACAAAGTGCTTTGATAAAGTTCCTCAAGCATAATGTTAGCTTTTTTTTCAACAGACATGCTTGGATTTTGATTACTGATTTTCAAGGTCAGACAAGTAAGTTCTCTTTGATTGGTACATTTGTGCTACACAATCTTCATTGCCTTTTATTTTCTTATTTGTGGTCAACTGAAAAAGTTTCTTTATGTACTGATCCACTTCCCACATAATCAAACCTCATTACCCATGATATAGAAATTTTTAAACTATAATAAAAACTGTACATAATGGCAAGTCATATTAGCCTGTCAAAAAAAGTTTTTCCTTTGATTTTTTGTTTTTTTTATAAACACCATGAGAATTTTCATGCTGTTCTTATTAAATGAAATTTGTTTTCTGTTCATTTCTTTCACCAACATCTGTGTTGTAATCTAGGGAAGGTTACTGAATAGAATAATCAAACAAAAGTTGGTAATGAACAATAATACTTAAGACAAGAACAACACATATAAGATTCGCCAGCGGCGCGTAGAACTAGTAGTCAACTACTAGAAGTGAGTCAATTCCACACTGAATCTCAAACTCTAGACCATGTAGAGTATTCACTACCTTATTTATGGGAATAAGGACTTACCCATTATCGTCCACAGGTATACTACAACAATCTGTGAATATGTAAAATCGCAAATCAGCCCTCTGTGAGTTCTGTTTGACATTGTCACAATATTAGTACCATGTGGTTTTCAAACACCACCCTTTATTTAAAATATTATAAATATATCATTTAGTTTTTTATTTTCTTGTCTTGAGTGTTTCTTGTTTTCTATAGGATAAAAAAATGAAAAAAAAAAAGGTTTTGTTTTAAAAAATCAAATTAAAAGGCCAATATTAAAAAAAAAAATGAATTTGTTTTTTTCAAAAATACAGATCTGCAAAAATAAGTTTCATTTTATATTCACTTTGAACTTTTAAAATAATTTATGAACATTTTATGAACAATTTTTTTTTCTTTTTCACATTCTAAATAATGCACAAGGAGGTTAATATGATCCTTGCATGCATTTCTATTATAATTAATAATATATTTCACGATCACAAATATTATGAGAAAAAATCAGAAAATTCTTTATACTTATTGACAGATGTATTCAGAAAGCTATTTGGCTTGCCACTAAGTAAATATTAAGGAAAAACCTCATTGAGTATTAATAGTGTTTAAGAAAGTAGTCATTTGATAGTTCAGTTTTTGATGACTTTGGGGACACTTAATTTTTTTTTTTTTAAATGTTTTTTTAAATACTATTGTTATTAAAAACTTATATTTTGTTTCTATATTCTTTTTTGTCGATATTTTATTCTTTTGAAATAACTTTTACAAAATGTTAACATTTTTGAGCATGAAAGCTTTGCTGATTGGCAAAGTGAAGATAAATAAAACTGCTGTTAGCAAGGATGGGAAGGTCCTGCTGAATACATCAAATTCCCTCCTAAAAATGTTAGATTGCAAAGAGCACTTTTACTTATTATCTAAATATCCATATTCCATAATAAACAATGTTATCAATGAATGCCTCTTTTTGTAGCCAATAAAAATGTCTGTAGAGTTTTGTCAGCTTTCAACTGAGCATCTTTTTCTGAACATTTTAAGCACATCAAATAAAACATCATTTAAACAAAATATTTTTCTTTATATTCCATAATTTATTCTTATATCTTTATTATAAAAATGCTACATTAATTTTCATGTGATGTTTGGTCTGTTTTGGTTTATTTTGTTTTATGGCATATCAACACCTCAATGGGTTATTTAATGCTGATAAGATTTTTGGGATAGATTCCTATGAATAGAATATATATTTGTAAGAAATCAATTTGTAGGAGATTAGGTTTTATTGACATCTTTTTGTTAAGAGTCAAATGTATTCTTCATATCTGCACTATAAAAATCAATTTTTATACTTTCATAGTGTTTTGACCCCAGTTTGGGGTTTAACTATTTGCCCATAGCTGGGACCCTAACAGGTGCTACCACTCCAGATCAGGGGGAACCTGGGAATGATAGCAAATAATAGGTGGTTCCACATTCCTCAAAACCTCTCAATCAGTCCTTGCTGCTGGATGTAATGCCCAGAACTCCCATTAATTGATACTTCTATTATTGTAATGACATTGTGACAAATTGAAATAAAAATGTGAATTTATCAAGTAGATTATGTCCATTTTAACATTTTTTTTTTAACATTTTTTTTTTAAATTTTATTTTTTGGTAGACCTAGCTTGGACATTTATAATTTTATCATGCCAACCATCATGGTCCTGCATCAAGGTCGGAAGGTCATTAGGGAGCCATTTTGTGCCATAACACACCTGGTCCTTGTAGGTGGTTGCTGGGCGATCAAACAC